CCTGGCTAGTCGTTCGTGACTCACGTACGGCTAGAACTTTTGGCTAGCCGTACGTTTCTTTATTTTTTTATTTTTATTTTTTTTTGATATTGTTACGTATTTTGAACCATAAAAAATCTCCTCTACACCTCCTGTGAAAATTAAATTGTCTGGTCAATACTTTATTATATTAATGTTTCCTTACGATTCAACTAGATTTATCATGAATCTAAAGATGTGGGGAAATGACATCACGCGCACCTGTTTTTATACGGCCAATACACAAACATGGCCGCGCTTACTGATTTGTAGAAATCGGTGATTTAGCGACTTAAATTTTGTTATCATTCGTTTAATATTATTATTTGGCGGCAGAAAATTTGCAGACTTATTATTTATAGTATTCTTTTTCTGAAATCAAGTTTTTATTCTAACCTTGTCTTTCCCTTTAATACATCATCATAACTAGAGGTTACTTTAAATGACCAGTAATACTAGCATGGATTTTGACAGATAATAACCCTTTTCGAACTTAGAAAATTCTTGTTCAAGCTTTTTTTGTGTTACATCAATCTTCAAAACTTCTGATGGTATTCACTTGAAACCTAGTTCATGTTTGCCTGATATTAATAATTGAAGGTCAATTTCCAAGAACCATTACCATGGCACAAATGTTGAATAACTGTCATTTGGAAACTAACAAAATTCCTGTGGTTCACTATCCAAGACTCATAAATATGTCCTTCTTAAAAGTTTTTGTTAATATTATTTGTGGTTATGAACTTCAGTTTAAGGACGAAGGTCAAGGCCACTAGGGCCTGTAATAATAAACATAAAACTGGTTATTGAATCAAAGTGCATTGCTGTAGCATTTTCAAACTTTGTATGTGGATGCACCTTGATTAGTTTTACCAGCCACAACCATTTGTGCATGTGCATTACCTAGCAGTGTGTGGATGGATGCACCTTGATGAGGCCTACCTGCCATACAACAGTAGAACTTCTATGAGTCGAACTTCGATTAGTCGAGTTTCTCGATGTGTCGAAGTAAAATGAAATTCCGATTTTTCGCTAATATATTCCTTATAAAAACCTATTTAAATCTAAGATTTTTCGTGGTCCGTATAGAATAAATCTAGTACAATTTACCACAAATAAGTTGAAGTCCTTTGATTATTTTGACACCTTCGATCTCGAGACATTTTTCACACCTTTTCTGGATGCGAAGACGATTTCCGATCAACTTTAGTGACAGGTGTTAATTACACAGCCGAGTGTTCAAACAGCCTTTGTATGCATTTAAATGTGTGAAAAAATGCTTTAATCGTTACTGTTTTAATTGCCGTAGCGGTATTTGAAAGTACATGTAAACAGTTAGAACTACCATTTGAGTGCTTCCGTGACCCGGTGTCGCGTGATAATCACACATGAAATATTTACTATAAGCTGGTTTAGTTATTGCCCTTTCGTATTGTTACGCCTTTTGTAACTTCATTGTATATGTCAACAGGTAGTCCAAATCATTACCCATAAAAAGTTCCTTAACATGTCATATTTATCATTGTATAATGTAAAATATCAAATTAATGAATGAAAGAAAAACATGAAATAGGTTACGTTACAGATCTTATAATTAGGGCTATTCACGAGTTTATATTTTGTCGTGAAATTCAGACTGATTCATGAGTCGAAGTCCCGATGTGTCGAAGTTTTTACGCAAGTCCCTCCAACTTCGACTTACCGAAGTTCTACTGTATTTTATGCGGAAATGTCAAGGTCACAATGGGAATTATTGGGTAGAAAATGCAGTCAAATTATTATTATAGAAGTCAGGTATTTAAAATTGTGAAGTTTGGTGGAGGAAAGTTTGGCATTTTTGCCATTGGGAATAACTCTGTTCACCAGACCCATATCTGGAAGGAAAAAGAAAAACAAAAGAAAGAAGTAAGAGAACATACATGTATCTCATTAATTCATGATAATAAAATACAATATTCTACCTTAAGTGATTAATTAAGTAGCTATTTCATCTATTTTTCAAGGAAAATTTTTATCTACAAAATTAATGAATTTCTTAGAATAGTTAACAATGTCTGTATTTAGCTGGTGAGACGACACATTTAGAATATATTCTGCGTATTTTTAGAGCTAAGTAACTCAATATCTACTCAAGGATGTTTATTTTTGAAAGTTATTTGTAGTTTTGAGAATATAAGAACGTTGACATTTTGTTAATTATTTTCAAGGGAGGTCATCTATCCAGTATTTAGCAGCAATTAAAAAAAAAAAGATGCAAGACTCTTCAACTTTATTGTGGACGTGAACTAGAACTTGCCTATTTAAGCTCACACCCTACTCCTACAGGCTTTTACTTAAAATGTTCATGTTGATGTCCAAAAGATTGATACTGGACAGTTCTAGAATTAGAAGCTGAACATTAGTCCATTAAAGAAAGTCAGAGAATGACCAAAACTGTAAATTTATTAGGAAAATGAATGTTTAACTTTCCAGAATTTTTTTACATTTTTTTATATCCAATTTTTACATAGCGTTTTTAAGCTGTATGCCTCCAGATGAGCCAAAATATTTTAAAAAAATCAATCAAGCTTTAATGCTAGTAACTTATAAATGCATTTAGATACGCCAGACACTGTAGATTTAATACTGGCTCCCTTATTTAAGTTGAAAAAATTTGAATATAATGTACTTTAATTTTTATTCATATATCTGTTGTTATATCAGAAATAAGGAGGAACTTCAGTACACTGACCGCAAATTAATATCTCAAGAATTCTAGATTTTCTAAAGGCATTTGCATTTCAACTATTTAAGTGGAAAGAAAATTGTTAGGTAATTATGTTAGAAACTAGGTTATTTAAGTGTAGAAAACTGACTATGTTTTGTGACATTATATTTTGCTTATTAATTATATTACTTAAGATAGTAATTTTCCCTCTGAGCACACATTACAGGGATGATTACTTGCCTGCTTTTTGTTTGTAATCAGTTCAGAGTCAGGCGAAACAGTACTTCTGTACTTTTTGTACAATTTCTTTTGTATAGCCCTAATAGTTAGATTCTGTATAATTTGGTGGTAGCACATAGTGGACTAATGTCAGAGAAGTATCATAGAATTATTTGCTTGTCACTATGGTCATTTCCAATCCTGCTTTGAAAGAAGCTGCCCAACAACCTTACAGGAGATTGTTTTCTTTACTCAGGTGCATGATTTTGCTTCAAAAATGATGCATGATCCTCCTCTATCAATAAAGCTTGAAAGTTGCCATATGACCTTTACCTTGAGTGTCAAGGTCACATGAAATCTGACCTACCATTGTATCAAGCTACATTGGTAGGGTGATACAAACAATTTAAGTTTTAAAATCTCTAGAATATTACAATAATTATTGAAAGTTCCAGCTTCAAACATTTTAATCTTAAATTTTTGAAAATCCCAGTAGAATATTACAATGGAAGGTTCCAACTCCAAGTGGACAAGTCCATTGCATGAACATTAGGGAGTGCATGTGAAATTTGGAGCGTGAGAGTGAGAAAGAAATGATGCTGGAATAAAATTTTGTAAGCAAAATTAATGATATACCATGAAAAGTAATATTTCGACGGAACAGTTTTACTGTCTCATTGCATTTTGTCATTAGTTGTACCCAGCATCCGTTATAAGAGCTGGCTTCTTTCTTGCATGTCTTTGATGGAGAACTTAAAAGCCTTTTAATGGGAGAACATTCCATTATATGTGTTTTCTGTTGTAGACTGAAAAGTGGCTGAAAGCATTTCCTGAGCTTTTAGATATTAAAGTCTGGATTTAATAGATCTAACTTAGAATTGACCTAAATTAGTGTCTTTGATGGGCTCTAATTTACCTTGGAAATTCTTCAACAGATTGGGTTATTAGACGAGATATAAGGTTCTCAAATAATAACTTCCTTATTAAATCTGATTGGGAGAGAGATTATATGAAAGGTTGACAAGAGTCTTTGTTGTTTCGGGGAGAAACATCTTAAGTAATATCAGGCATTGTGGCTTTTGTTGTAATTGTCTACGTGCTTGTTTAATTTGTTGTACTGTTTTGTGTTCTCTGAAAAAATCACATTTTGTAGATAATTAGCAAGATTTCTGGTCATTGGTCGCAGGGTACATTAATTTTGAAAAGTTCCATATATTATATAGTTACCTTTTATATGAATAAATACACCAGTTTTTAGCTCGACTTTTTTTTTTTTAAAGAAAAAATATATATTGAGGTGTTGTTACAGTAATGGCCACGTCCGCAAACTTTAACCTTGATTCTAACTTTTGAAGTTCTTGGTGTATTGTCTTCAAACTTGGCCACAACAACCCTTGGGACAAGACCTTCCAGTAAACCAGACTAAATTTAATTTTCATTCATAAATGACCTTGACTTTTGAGGTCAAATGTCTAAATTTTGCTTATTTTTTGTTTCAAGGGGCTATCACTTTTGTTATTTTTGAATGGATTGTCTTTAAACTTGAACACAACATAGACCTTCAAGTTAACTAGACAGACCAGGACCTTCACTCATAAATGACCTTGAACTTAAAGGTCAAATTTGGAAATTTTCATTCTTTTGCTGTTACTGGCTATAACTTTGTTATGAATGAATGGATTTACTTCATATTAAGACACAGCATTCTTTAGTATAAGACCTTCATGTATATCAAACACAAATTGACCTTGGCTCATTTATGACCTTGACCTTGAAGGTTACCTGGCCATTTTCAGGAATGATCATCTTTCTGCCAAGGTTCACGCTAGTTGTTTAGGAAATAAAGTGAACTACAGTATCTTACCTAAATAACAGATTTATAGAATAAAAAAGAATGAAAAAAAAAGAGTAAAATTGTATGATATGAAAAAAGTCTATTTTGCAGTGTTAAGAAAGTTTGAGTTGGAAAAAAAGAAGATTTTTTTTAATTCTATCTTAAAATGAATAAATAAGTTATATCTGAAATGAATAAATAGCCAATGTTTATATTTTTCAGGTGATCCAGATGAGGTGCTGAATTTACGTATACAAAAAATACAGGAGAAAAATGCAGAAATACTCCGACGGAAGATGGAAATTGAGCAGGATAAGGAAAAATATGGCTGAAAAAAAAATTAGTTCATTATAATATTTGTGTTCCAAGATTTAAATATATAATTGCATAATAAGAATTTAAACTGACCAGAGAGTGAGGTAAGTAAAATGATTGTTGAAATATAATAGAACAGTGAATAGATCGAAGATTGGCAGGGCTGGTGAACATTAAGTTCAAAAAGTTTATATTAAAGGGAGGTAATTACATTTTTGTAACATTGATTTTCTTTGTGACAAAAAAAAAAGATGAAGAGGATGAAAAGAAGGAGAGAAGAATTGAAATGGCAGCAGTGAGACTTAAAATAGAATTATGAAAGAGTTGAATTTATTGATGAACAATTTATGTTACTTTATTTAGTAAATAGGAATTTTTTTTGTTTGTTTTTGCTGTAGTATTTTGTTCTGTTAATGTACATCAGTTTGAATATGTGTCAAAAAGTAACTAATGCATGTAAATGTATTTAAGTGCTATTGTGTTATATTGAGTATTCTTTTGCATGATCTTTGAAGTAATAGACAGAAATAGATGCTTTACTACTGAAATAGAAAAAAATATACGGATTTTTGATATCATATTTCTTTTGCTGTGAAATATTTAAGTAATACAATATCATAAATATCTGACTGAGATTAAAAAGAAATGAGGTGTTTTAAATATGTTAATGGCATACTAGCATGTAATATGAAATCTAGTTCATGACAAGGAGTGGAGGACGTGATTTTATTGCTTTGTAGAGAATATGGCCTGATAATGTTTATGTAATATACATGTATTAAAAATGTATTACGGTCTTATTTGTGCTCTAGTGCAAGGCAGAGAATGACATTTGTGATATTTTTACCCGAAATCTGAAATAGAAAATCTGATTATGATAATAATTCCACATCCAATTCGTAAAAAGTATTTTTAGCCTGACTTAATTCAAACAATAAGAAGAGCTATTGTATTCCCTCAGGCATTGGCATTTGTGTCACCGTGACACAGTTTGGTTAAGTTTTTACATGCTGAAACTTCTGAAGGTATGGGTTGAAACTTAACAAAATTTATTTTAGAGCATAAAAGGAGGTCAATATCTCACAGGAAAAACTGGACTTGCCTAACTGTGTTGCCTCATCAAATAAAGACATTACTTCCATTGTACTTATCTAAGGCCCATATCATTGACATGGATTTTGACAGAGTTATGGCCCTTTTTTCTACATTATCCAGGCTCTTGTTTTACTTTTAGTATTATCAAGCACTGAGAATAGTTGAGCACACTGTCCAACTGATTCACTTCCTTTATTATGGTGGAATCAAATAAAGAATGATAATAAAGGTATGATATCCATTAGACATGATTAAAAAAAAAACTGTAACATAAATGGGTTTTTAGCTTGTCTGTTCCAAAGAAAAAGTTGGAACTATTATAATCATTGCATCATCATCATTGTTGTTGTTGTTGTCATCATCATCTTGCAAAAACTTAAATGTAGCCAATATTAAATAATTTCAAAAGTGATCAATATGAAACTTAGAATACTAGTTTTGCTTATCATGTTAGACAAGGGGCATAATTCTGAATGCTATATTTTTGCAGTTTTTAAACCTAGAATTTTTGTCAAAATTGGTTGCCCCTAACAGATGAACATTAACACCACATATGTAGCTCTTCTTTAAAACTTATTCCTACTTTAATTAAGTGCCCTCTCCCCCTTTTGTCAGATATTCATCATATGTATGACATTTATATTTTCCACTACTGTATGAATTCCATTTAAAGCATCTTCAGAAATAAATTTTATATTTGAAAATATTTTTTAATGTGTTTTTTAGGTTATCTAAATTACTATGTTATTTAAAGTATATTTAATTAAGAATATTATTAAAGTTTGTCTTCATTTTATGTATTGATGTCAATGCAAGTGTCAAGGTATACAGTATATATATATAAAAAATTTTGAATTTATCATAAAAGAAAGTCTTATGTAAGTTTAATAGGATTGAACGTTTATTTAAGTTGACCGACAGGTTTTCATTTAATTTGCCTGCATGATACATTAGTTAAACTATTTTTGGTTTCAAGGATGTTTGTTATTGGTCTAGAAACTGGTGTCAAAACATCAGTCGATTGTAATTTTAGATTGAAATTAATCAATTACACTTTGTAGTTCTTAACCGATCTTCTACATTGACATTCAAGGATAATGAATATGAAATTGACAATTTAATTTGCACCTGACTGAACCCTGTATTTTATCCTTGATCTTTGATTGATTTATAGACTTGCTTCGGAAATAAGAAACTAGAATATTTTGGGTTTTTCCTTAGCTTAACAGGGTCGGAGGCTATAAAGAAATTCTCTAAGCTCAAACTCCGATACGAAAGATTTGATTGGTCAGAAACTGTCAGAGAATGTATGTACAATTAATTGACCAATGAAAATCCAGAGATCTGAGACATAACTGAGAAAAAAGTTTTATAACCTCAAGGCCTTTAACAGTTACAACTTCAAAAATCAGTGCCACAAGTTGTATAATGAACTGTGAACTGTAGTGCACCATGAAGCTGTAATGGTAAAAGTTTGTTTGTACTGGGACTTGAGCTTGAAATAAAACTCATTTTTGCTAAGTTCCAGATTACATCTGTTATAAAAAGACAAAACTCCATTTTATAAATACACTAGGGACACAAAGATTTTATAAACAGTAACAACAAGTACTGATTGATTTATACAGTGTTTGATATGCCTTAAATGTACCAATTACATTATGCTTTTGTTTAATATAATAGCTGTTCAAACAAAGTAATTAAAACTGCATATGCCTCCAGATGAGCCAATATATTTCCAGAAAATTGAACTTGAGAAAAAAGTTCAAAGATTTTAAGAAAACTAAAATGTCAAAATTCAAGTAATAATTTACATGTTATTTGTGATTAATGACTGGTTTTACAGTTTCTTATCACAATATTTCTACTTTGTTACTAATGCAGTAAGGACCAATTTTACATATTTGACCTCTTTTGGTAATTAACATGGATTTTTTGTGCCATTTGCAATATGTAAATTGATTTTTTTGTTCACTTCAGAATATGTTACTTTTAAATATACTCTGAATGTTCACTTCAGAATATGTTACTTTTAAATATACTCTGAATGTTCACATTAGAATATGTTACTTTTAAATATACTCTGAATGTTCACTTCAGAATATGTGACTTTTAAATATACTCTAAAGGTTAGCATGAATCTGGAGGGGTGCTGCTTTAAGTGACAACAGTGTGTTGCAGTGGTTAACTTATTCATTTAGACCTAAGAGTTATTTGCTATCACAATAATAGTATAATATGTATTTACATTGTAAAAGATACATGTTTTGTTTGATATGTAATACATAAATGAACATTGAACTCGGGATTTCATTAGTTTCTGCTTTCAAGTGGTCACGAAATGACAATCTTTAGTACAGACTTATTGGTGTTTATTAAGTTTAAAATGTGAACCAGTGTCATAGACCTTTCATTATCTTTTAATGAAAATGAGAATGTTAAGAAATCGTTAGTTTATAAGGAACGTTTTCTATAATAACAAAATGGTTTAGCATTTAGAAGTAATTTATTTATTGATTAGTTTATATCAACATTATGTTAACATTAGAGTAATGTTATATCTTTCATTGTGCTTTGAATAACTTTGTTAATAATATATTGGCTGTAATTATGATATCTTTAAAGATTTGCTACTTAATACAAGTTTGCCTGCAGAATCTCTGGCTTGTACATGGTTTAAAGACAGAAGTTTTTTTGTCTAACATTTAAAATACCTGTTTTCAATTACATGTTATTGTAATGAACTGATTTGACTTCAAAATGCCTCGATCATTAAATGATCTTTCATAGCCAGCAGTTTTATATTCTATTCTGATTTCTTATCAGATTATTTCAAGGTAATAATGATATAATTACTTGCCCCTGACAGGGTTTGAGCCCACACAGCCACCAATCCTTAGATTATTTGTTGGAAATGTTCCTAACTCAGCCATGGCACTACATTGCTTTCCATTAGAACAAAACTTAACACTAGTTGCTTAGAACTGATTGGTTCTTGGAACAAATTGAAGAGTTTAGCTTCCTACACAATTGAACTACAATTAATTCCATATAAACTAAATAGGCTTTTTTCATCATAGATAAAAACAGAATCCCTTATTAATTTAAAAACACCCAAAATGACAAAATTGAAAATGATACAGGCTTGGTTTGATTGTGCCTGTTCATGGATGGTAAAGGTAATTGCAAGCTACCATCCATGCCCCTTAGTACTGGTTTAAAGGGACTTCACTGAGGTCCAAAAACCTAAAAGATAACATTTTGAATTCCTTACAATTAGATCAACCTGTTAACTTATATGTGAATGATAATTAAGAAATATACTCAGAAATAAAGTGAGAAATAAACTGAATATTTTTGTGCTATTGTAAGCCCGACTTGAGTTAGAAGCATTATGCAATGCTTTTCAACTTTGGGTCATTTTCAAAATTACAATAATTATTTTTGAAAAACAGAGTAAGCAAGTGATCTGAAATTTTGCACACAGGTCATTGGTCTAGACCTTTTCAAATTGAACATCAATCTCAGAAATCTATTTCTAGTCCAGTCATTGTGAAAAACCTAAGTGGAGTATGTATGAAGTCTTTGCTTAATCTGCCCAGTAAGACACAAAATGCAGTTTTCGCTGTCGAGTACGACCTCAGGACAAGTTACCAGTCATGCCTTTAAAGAGTAAATTTTGAAGCACAAATTGGTAATAATTTACCTCCATGCAATTTACACGGAGTATTAGCCAAAGATATGAATTTGGAGCCAAAAGTAGGTCACTGTACGGCGGTCAATGAAAACCTAAATGTACAGTAACCCTAGTATAATCCCTATAAGCAGAATTGAAATTCAAAGGCAAACTTGAAAATCACCTTTCATTCTCCTTATGAATCAGTGTATCAACTCTTCTGTCATGTAATTTAACAAACTGTCAAAGGCATTTGATTGACAGATCCCTAGGAGAATAGTAAATCATTAACTTTGCTTTTAGAACAGACGAACATGCTTTGTCAACAAATATTGTCTTCCTGAATTGATATTTCCAGCATCGCTTCCAATTTCTTGGTTTTGTTTAATAACATCATAGTTTTTTTTTTTGTAACACTCCTTAGATAATTTGAAGTTATAATCATGCAAAGAAAGTAAATTGATTATTTTCTGAGTAATTAGTTTGATAGTTTGGCTAAGCATGAAATAGTGGTTACCATGATTATAATGATGTTTTATAATGTATAGATAGTTTCTGATAATATGTCTGATACAAAATTTTTTAATGTGATGATTGGGTGTTAGAAAATGTCTGTTTATTATGTATAGGTAGTTTCTGATAATATGTCTGATTCAAAAATTTTTAATGTTAGAAAATGTTTGTTTATTATGTATAGATAGTTTCTGATAATACGTCCAATTCAAAATTCTAATGTGAAGATTGGGTATTAGAAAATGTCAGATTCTGAGATAAAGGCAATGTCTGTAAGGAATGTCTGATTTTGAATTTAAGTGGATAGATAATAATGTGAGAAAATGTACAATTCTAACTGGTAATGTATAGGTAGCTTGTGAGAAAATGTCAGATTGTAAGACTTAATGTAAAGATATTTTCTGAGAAAATGTCTTAATCTTACTCTAAATGATACAGATAATTTCTTAGAAAATGTCTGATTATAACTCTTAGTGATATAGAAAGTATATGAGAAAATGTCTGAAATTTACGCTTAAAGATAGATATTTTCTCAATCTATTTCTTAATGATATAGATAGTTTCTGAGAAAATGTCCTCGTCTAACTCTTTACAAGAAAATGCATGCTTCTGTTACATATGCTACATTAACTTAATGGACTTGTCCGTCTTTGAATTTGGATCAGTCCATTGTTATTTTCAGGAAATTCAATTTCAAAATACTAAAATGAAGCAGCTGATCATCATCAGTAGAGTGTTCAGTCAGACTTAACAAACATTAAGACTGTCCTGGCCTAGGCAAGCCTTTGTATCACTAGAATAAATGGATTGCATTAAGACTGGCCTGGGTGTATGTTCCTGGCCAAGGTAACCCTTTGTTATCACTAGAACAAATGGAGTGTTATTTAGACTGGCCTAGGTGTATACTCCTGGCCTAGGCAAGCTGTTGTTAATCACTTATACAAATGGATTGTATTTAGACTGGCCCAGGTGTATACTCCTGGCCTAGGCAAGCCTTTGTTATTCACTAAAACAAATGGATTGGATTAAGACTTGGATTAAGACTGACCTGGATGTATGCTCCTGGCCTAGGCAAGCCTTTGTTAATCACTTATACAAATGGATTGCATAAAGATTGGCCTGGGTATATGCTCCAGCCTAGGCAACCCTTTGTTAATCACTTAAACAAATTGATTGCATTAAGACTGGCCTGGGTATATACTCCTGACCTAGGCAAGCCTTTATTATCAATAGAATAAATGGATTGCATTAAGAATGGCCTTGGTGTATACTCCTGGCCTAGGCAACCCTTTATTATCACTAGAATAAATGGATTGCATTAAGACTGGCCTGGTGTATACTCCTGGCCTAGACAAGCCTTTGTTAATCACTAGAACAAATGGATTGCATTAAGACTGGCCTTGGTGTATGCTCCTGGCCTAGGCAAGCCTTTGTTATCACTAGAACAAATTGATCAAGGTTTTTTTTTTAGGTTTTCATCAAGT